TTGGGTTCTCGGGGGGGGGGGAGGGAGGGGGTGATAACAGGTACCCTAGGGTGAAATTTGGAGTGCTGGGGGGATTGTTTGGGTGCTGGGTGTTTGGGGGAAGGCATCCTAGGGGGAGAATGACCCTAGGGAGCAAGATTGATGCACATCAGTGGGGCAAACCCCACCTCCCACCCAGGGGCACTCCCCCAATATTTCAACCCCCCCCCCCCAGGTGATGTTCTGCACGCTGAACACACACAAAGTGGACATGGAGAAGCTGCTGGGGGGGCAGATCGGCCTGGAGGACTTCATCTTCGCGCACACCAAAGGGCAGCGCAAGGAGGTGGAGGTGCTCAAGTCTGAGGAGGCGCTGGGGCTGACCATCACCGACAACGGCGCCGGATACGCCTTCATCAAGGTGGGGAGGGGGGGCTGAGATTGTAGGGGGGAGCATGGGGACATCCCTGATGGTTATGAGGGGGCGTAGGGATGTCCTGAGCTGCTATGAGGAGGGAGGGTGGACGTGGGGGTGTACCGGAGGGATGTAGGGACAGCCTGGGGGGGGACATGGGGTTGCCTCTGATCGCTGTGGGGACATCCTGGAGTGTTGCAGGGGGACACGGGGGTGTCCCAAAGCATTGTGGGGGGACATAGGACTATTATGGGGGTCAGGAGGATATCTCTGAGCATGGGGTGAACATGGGGGGGTGGAGGGGCATGGGGATGTCCCTGGATGTGCGTTCGGTCCCTGAGGTCACAGTGGGACACCCCTGAGTGGCACGGGGGTACGTGGGGTCAACCCGCTTCCATCTCCATCCCCAATCCCCTCTGGAATGTCATTAATCACCACTAACGAGTGCCATTCTCCCCTCCTCCCCCCCCCCCATCCCCATGGCAGCGGATCAAGGAGGGCAGCGTGATCGACCGCGTGCCGCTGATCGGCGTCGGGGACATGATTGAGGCCATCAACGGGCGCAGCCTGGTGGGAGCGCGGCACTACGATGTGGCACGGGCACTGAAGGAGCTGCCACGAGGGAGAACCTTTGCCCTACAGCTCACCGAGCCCAGAAAGGCCTTCGGTGGGCGGGGGAGGGAGATGGGGAGTCAGGGAGGAGGGGTGGCGGGGTTGGGGTTGAGATTGGATTGAGATTGGGATGAGGATGGGGCGTGGAGCTGGAGTAGAGGTTGGGTTTAGGATGGGATTGAGAGGGGGAGTGGGATTGCAGTGGAGTTGGGTGGGACTGAAGTTGAGATTGGGTTGAAATTGGGATTGAGATGAGAATGGGGTGTGGGGTTGGGAATGGGATTGGGGTTGGGATTGAGATTGGGATGGGGTTGAAAGAGGGATTGGGATGAAGTTGAGATGGAGACTGGGATTGGATTGGAGTTGGCTGGGATTGAGATTGGGTTGAAATTGGGATTGGGATGAGGATGGGGCATGGGATTGGGATTAGGATGCAGTTGAGATGGGAATTGGGACAGGGATGAGGATGAGGCATGGAGTTGGATTGAGATTGAGATGGGGATTGGGGTGGGGTTGAGATTGAGATTGGGACTGGAGTTGAGACTGGGGTTATGTCTGAGGTTGGGATGTGGGGTTGGGGTCGAGAATGGGACTGGATTGAGGTTGGATTTGAGCTGGAGCTGAGATTGAGCTTGGGTTGGGATGGGGATTGGGAGCAGGGTTGGGACTGGAGTGGGGATGGGGATAGAGATTGGGATTGGGTTGGGGTAGAGTTTGGGATTGGGGTTAGTGTTGGGATTAGGTTGAGGTGGGGGTAAGGACTGTGGGTGGGGGAGGGTCCTGTAGCTCAGGCAGGGTGTGGGGTGACCCCAGGATTTATGTTCTCCTCCCCCTCCATTGCAGACATGATCAGCCAGCGCACGGCGGGGGGCCGGGGAGGGGGCACAGCTCTGGGCAGCGGTCGGGGCACCCTGAGACTGCGCGCCCACGGCCCAGCCACCGTGGAGGAGCAGGTGGGTGTGTGGGGTGAGGGGTAATCCTGTGGGGGTGTGTGTGTGGGGGGGGATGCTGGGGACCCTCCTTAACATCACCCTGTTGTCCCACCCCCATCAGCCCAGCGCCTTTGAGGAGCGCGCCATCGCCAAGGTGGATGATCTGCTGGAGAGCTACATGGGCATCCGCGACACCGAGCTGGGTGAGGGGGGGGCAGCCACGGGGGGGTGGGAGGTAACACCAGGGGGGTGGGGAGGGGCTCCACGTCATTACCCAGAGAGGCCTGGGAGGGTTTGGGGCAGCAGTGCAGCTCCAGTGTGGGATGAAGCAGGGGGGTGGTGCCTGGGGAGGGGGGTTACTGAGTGCTGGGGGCCCCCCAGGTGTCCTCACTGCTTGGGGTTCCCATGAGTGTCCCGACTGTCCCTGTGTCCCCACTGCGAAGGAACTGGGGGATCCCTGACCATCCCCGCCTCCTGCAATCACCATTATGGTGGAGCAGGGGATCCTTGGCAGTCCCTTTGCCTGCTGGGTGTCCCCAGCACCATGGACCTGGGTGTCCCCTTTCTGTCCCCATGTGCACCATGGAGGAGCTGAGGGACCCGACTGTCCCAGTGCCCTCACAGCTGCCACCGCAGTGGAGCTGGGTTTCCCTGGGTGTCCCTGTGTCCCCTAAGGTGTCCCCTGACTCTCCACATTGTCACATCCCATATGATGCCTCCTGAGTGTCCCCATGCCTCGCTGTCCCCGCGGCCACCACCAGGGTGCAGCTGTGTTCCTCTATGGCATCCCCTCACTGTCCCCACATCCTGGTATCCCCGCAGCAGAGCTGGGTTCCCATGGGTGCCCCCACCTCCCCAGTGATGTCCCCTGACCGTCTCGGTGTCCCTACAGCTGCCACCATGGTGGAGCTGGGCCGTGATGCCCGTGACCCCGACGCTCTGGCGCAGGCCCTGGACTCACAGCTCGGGGACTTCGCCTTCCCGGATGAGTTCGTCTTCGACGTCTGGGGGGCCATCGGGGACGCCAAGGCGGGGCGCTGCTAAGGGGGGGCGCCCCAAAATGCCGGGGGACACTCAGAGCACCAGGAGCCCCCCCACACCACCAGCAGACCCCCAAAATGCTGGAAGAACCCTCCCCGGAATTCTGGGTGCCCCTCTTACAACACTAGTCCACCTTTCCCCCATAACACCAAGGAACCCCATCAGACCACTGGAACCTCCCCCATTTCCTGGGACCCTCCCACATATACATCCCTGGGACCAACACTCCATGCTGGACTCCCACCTTCAATAATGCTCCCCCAAGGGCTTGAGGATTCCCCCCAAATGGGTTTGGGTACCCCCAATCTCAGTAGGAACCTCCTCTGTCTCCTCCCCCTGAATAGTTTGGGACCATCACAGTAGATGCTGGGACCCTCTCTCAATATAAATTGTGATTCTCTCCCCCCCCACACACAGTAACCTGGGACCCCAAGGGATTTTTTTCCCCTATCCTTCACAGGACCCCCTCCCCCTCCCAGCAAGGAGCCTGACATCCAGCAGCCCCTTTCCCCACTCAGGCCAACCCATCACCACTGAGCAATCCTTGCCCCTCTCCTCCAATTTGAGTGTGGGGGCCATTCTTGAGCACTGTCCCCATCCCCCAGCGCTGCAGGGTGAGGAATGAGGGTCTCCCCTTAGCCTCCCCCAAAAGCTTTATTTTGAAAGGGTGGGAGGTTGGGGGCAGACCGGAGCCACCCTGTGCTTTCCCCACCCCATCTACACCAAATCCATTCTGGTGCCAATCTGAGCCTGTCACACACTGTCACCCCCCAATAATGCGCTGTGTTGTCCCCTCCCCCCGACCCCCCCATCGCACTGACTACCTCGGGTGGGGGGGGGCAGCAATTTTCCCCCCTGGGGTCTCCAAAGTGTCTGCCAGAGCCTGGGGGGGGGAGGAGGGGGAGGTGGGAGGGGGTCCTGGAGCTTTGGGGGGGGGGAGGGTAGGTCATGGCCCCCACTCCCTCTGGGGGCATATTTTTGTATTGTACATGGAGAGTGACTTTAACATT